CCCTGCTTGTGTTCCCTCTCTCGCTGTGTCTCTCTCTGTCAAATAAATTTAAAAAACACTTTAAAAAAATAAAAAGATATTACCAAGGAGCTTTTTATCACTGATCCTATAAATACCCAGGTATTTGAACATTTTTATTTGAATACACAATTTTCTCTGGAGGTTAATAGCCTTCCTTATATTCTCAAAGGTATTCATATTTGAAAGGACTTTAAGAATAACCATGTCCTTGACGGGCACCTGGGTGGTTCAGTTGGTTTAAGCGTCAACTCTGGATTTCGCCTCAGGTCATGATCTCAGGGTCATGAGATCGAATCCCGAGTGGGGCCCCACACTCAGCAGAGAGTCTGCTGAATATTCTCTCTCTTTCTCTCCCTCTGCCCTGACCCTTGCATGACACACTCTCTCTCTCTCCCCTCTCTCTCAAATAAATAAATAAATCTTGAAGAAGAAGAAGAAGAAGAAGGAGGAGGAGGAAGAGGAGGAAGAGGAGGAGGAGGAGGAGAAGGAGAAGAAGAACTATGTCTTCGAAACAGTATGTAAGGAAAGTGTTATCATTATTTCCACTTATGGGGACAAAATCCAAAACAACTCAGGCCCAAAGAGCTATCATGACTTACCCAAATACTCCTACTGTGCTAACAATGCAGTGGTGAGCATCATGTGTTAGGTGCTCAACACTCAGGGTCTATTGGCTTGTCTTCAGAAGAGTCACCCTTTTTCTCGGTCAGATATGGTGAAGACAAAAGAAGGTCCACACAGCTTTGTGCCCCTTCCATGTGGGCTGGGGCTGAAAATATTTTGAGGCCCAACGTTTTAAAATAATTGCCTGAGAGAGAGCCAGTTTTCCTGAGATTTTGTTTTGTTTTGTTTTTTGGTTTTTTTGTGTGTGTGTGTGTGAAGAAGTGTTTTTGTTTTTGAAGTCCTACTTTTAAGAAAGCTGTTGTCATTCAGGTCTGCTGTGTTGTGACAACTGAAGTGTTTAAATTTGCCCTGTGGTTTGGCCGGTGAATGCAGCCAGCCGCAAGGCCCATGTGCTCCGCATGACCTGAGCTTTGGCCAAGCTGCGCTCTGGGCTGGGTCTAGCTGGGAGGTCTTTCCAGCTCTTTTCCAAACTGCTTTCATTTCATTACATTTTCCTGAGCCTGGGAGTGGCAGGAGAATTGGGGGGCCTGGCTACTTAGGTATTGTTAGCTCCTGGTTTATCTTCCATGTCCCATATGCTCACCAAACACACATTTTCTAAAACACTGTCTGATCATGTCAGTCTTCGTGAGGAAATCCTTTTTGTCTTCCTGATGCGTAAAGATTCAGTGTCGGTCCTCAACCCTTTCAAGATCCTGGATCAGTGGTGACTTTACCACAGCTGGCCTGGCAGGCAGGGCTCGTGATCCTGTGGGCCCTGGCGACCTTCCTCCCCTCTTCCCTGTCCCAGTAAGTGGCCCCAGCAACCCCTGAAGTCAGCATTCTGGGACTTATCTTTGCTTTCTCCCCTCCCTCATTCCTCACTCTCAATTTAGGGCAAGATTCAGGCTCTTCTTGTTATAAAACACAGTTTGCCTTTGTCCACTTGGCTCCATGCTGATCCATCCAAGCATTCTCTCTCCTAATCAGGGCTGCTTTATGACTTTTGTGTGTTCTAGGTACTTTTGCCTTTATGAGCTCCTTCATCCATCTAAAAAATAAATAAAAATTATATTTTAGCACTGCATTGGTATAAAGGCAAATATAAGCCAGGCTAAGTTTATTATTGTATATTTGTGGGGTTTGTTTTTTTTTTTTTTAATTAAAACATTTTCATGGGCCCCAGGCTCTGGCCCACACTGCCAAATGGATGAATGAGTCCTGGTCCTAACTACCAGGACAGCCTACTACCTGGTCTCTCTGCCTCCCCTCCTCCAAATTCATTTTCCTCACAATACCCAGAGGGATTTTTTTATCACTATAAATTGGATCATGCCACTCCCCTTCCTAAGCACCCCTGACCAGGCACTAAAGTCTTTGTATTATTTTTTTTTTTT